TAGAAGTAGTTCGAGAATAAATAGAATAGAGAACAGATGAGGCACAAACGAAGCTCGAATAAGAGTTGAAACAGCTTTGTTGATCCTTTAGACCTACATGTGTTATATTTGGCAATAACACATATAGGTCCAATATGTTCATTTCATTTTAGCGGTAGGTCTTGCTGACGAGTTGGAGCTCTGCCGTGGAAATAGAAAATAACATGCCTGGTGTTTGGCTGCTATTTTCCTCAAGGACTAGCTCCTTGTGAAGCTTTGCATTACTGTCAGAGTGGGTTTGCCATGGAGCGATCTACATTTAGATCTCCAGGAAGTTGTGCAGCGCTTCACAGGGAATTAACCTTGAAGGGGGATGGCATCCAGATTTAAATCAGGTAAGATTTCATTTTTTATGGGCTTAGGCGTGTTATATTTTGATAGCAACTTGTAAAACTTTAAAAAGTTACAGATATTCTTGTAGTATTTACAGCAAAGACGCTGTATGATACATTCAGTTTTCACAGAACATATGAGATTTATTGCCATTCATTAATTTTCTTAACCACTCATCCGATTTTGGGATTGAAGCCTGCTCCTGTCACAGGGCAAGAGGCGGGGTACAACCTGGACAGGTCACCAGTCTATCAAAAAAAAGTTGGATAATCATTTACATCTATGGCATTTTTAGAATTTAAAATCATCAATTCGGACTGTGGGTGGAGTACCCAGACAGAACCATAGACGCAAACTCCACACAGAAGAGCCCCACCTGACAGGTGGAATCAAACTGTGATCGTTCTTCTTTAAAAAATACCCATAGTGAAAAAATGTCATTTATATTTAGAAGTGCATGCAACAAGTATGCATCATATTAAACAAAATTAAACGACCACTCTAGCCGTATGTGTTATTTTGCTTCATCTGCATTAATCCATGAAACTGAATAGAACCGCTTCACCAAGAATCCATTGTAGTCTGATTGAAATGAAACTGAAAGATCCTTTAATCCTTTTCAACCATATCACTGATTTGTACTAACCCCACTTTATCCAGGCACCCCTAATCCACAGCATTAAATTCCTCTCGCTTTGCATTTAAATATCACACTGTCATCAACTTGTAATCTGATATGAAATTGTCTACCAAAGGGAACAGGAGATTTGGGAACGGACAAGGATGTAGCACACTTTCACATCTGTTTCATTCCTTTTCTTCATGTGCATTCTGCTTGTTTTTGGTATTCCTGGGTCATTTTGGTCCTGACCCAAACAAATAATTGGAAAGCTAAAAGCACAGACAAGCTCATGGCTTATCAAAGAGTCTTATAAACAAGATCAAATGCCAGCTTGTGTCTAGCCTCCTCATCGTTTCTCAGTTGCAATAACAATCCATTATTCATTTTCAAACCTAACAAGAAATTTCTTGATCCTAATCCCTGCGTGCAGCTTAAAATTTAAATTACTATCGAATTTTTGTCCATTTCTCTTATGATAAACCTCAGAGAGGGGAAAAAACAATTGGGATTCATAACAAGTTGAGTGTGGCATTAGAGTCGTCCTTCCAAACACTTCCCAAGGTTCCTTTCTTTTTCTGAGCAACTTTATTTGAATTCCCCCACAAGACTTATAAATGAAAGTGAGCATCTCCTAGCTGTCTGCTCCCATTTATCGCTCTACCCCCAACTGTTCAGAGATCTCTTAAATGTTCAGTCAGTCTCTTGAAGCTTGAAGGTCACATGAGTTCATTTGGAGTTCAGAAATCTGTGGCATCCTATTCAGAACTACAGAGCAACACTGTGAAAGCTACTGCATTTACTGTTACTGCATAATTATTTCTTTATTTCAAAATTTCTAGTGGAATAAGAGCCTTACAGTGAATTACACTGCTCTTAAATGTAAAAGGTAGAAAAAAAGTTTTTAAAGTGCTGTTTTTTGGAAGTTAGACACAAACAAAAACAGTTAACATTTTAACTGATTTTAAGCATCCCTGATGGTCTCATTAACTGGACCCCAGACTGCAGGGAGACGAGCGCGACTCCCTATTTTTCATACCATGCAACGATTCATCAGTCTCAAGGGTTTTGCCCTATAAAATATTATCCTCAGACAAAAAACCCCGTTTCCCAGAAGGCTTGTGTTACTGACACGTCCAGATTCTGAAAAGCCTCTTGTTAACAACAGCTGTAAAGTGAGCTTGTTCAATTCTTTCAAGTTTAATCTCTCCCTCTTTCTGTTGCTTTCATTTCTCTCTCTTAGTGTCCCATTTCTCTTGTACTTGTGGGACGATCTTGAATTAATTAAAAGAAAAGACTTTGAAGTTAGATACTTGGCCTCGGGGCATTCTGTTTCATTTTTGTTGTGGTGGGAGTCGCGCTGTTGTTCTGTTGTTACGTTGTAACGACCCAGAGATTCCGCTACTGGTCAGTGTCATGTTATTAGGCAAAAGATGCAGTTCAGCATAAAATTGTCTCTTAAAAAAGCAAACACATCTCTAGAACATGTGCCTGGTATGTCCAATTTTATAACACTTGGTCTCTTCTTTTATTGTCTCAGGTTCTTCTTATGATTGCATTATGCTGTAATAACTTAAAGACAGAGTAACTGTTAGTATAGTCAAGCTTTGCGCTGTCTTTAGATTAAGTCTTACAATTTCAGAAATTGCTATTTCCAGATGTGTCGTGGTTCCGCTGTGATTGACCGACAACACACAGTGTTTGGATTGTCATCTTGTACCGTGGACTGTGTTTCTGTGCAACTTCACTGCTTAGTGGTAATGTGACAATGAATGATGATGACTAGCTTTAGCTTTAAGAGCAGTCAAAGTTGAGTGAGCGAGTTCAGTAAACCCTTCATCATACTCAACTGTCTTGTAAGAAAAAGGCATCATTCTATATCCACGGCCCCTCTCCCGCAGCTGTCTAGCTGCTCTAGTGCAAATAGAGATCCCTCCCAAGAGAAATGGATCATCTGTACAGGAATGAGACCCGGGAGCCCCTCAACATAGTGATGTCATATGAGGGGGTGTTGATCTAACCTTAGATGATGGGCTGTCAGCAGCTGCTGTTGCAGCGGGGCCGGGACGGACAGAATAAATACTGAAGAAGTAAGAAACAAGGCAACGGATGAGACAGGAAGTCAGATTAGCGGGAGAGGATATTTATTGTGATGTAAAATGAAAAGAAAGCTACTGAATACTAATGAAAGTCATACTAATGGAAAACAGAAAAACAGAACAGACTGAATGATGACCGAAATTAGAAGCCTGGTCGCTAGCCTGCCAAGCTTCCCCTCTCAGCATGAGACTCGTCCCTATTTCCCTCCCGTCAGCCCCTCCTATCTCTGTTACACTCTCTCTATTCGCTGCCATGACATGCTACGTCTAAAGCGGAGTCTGTGAATGAATGATATTACCTCATGCAAATAACACCATCTACCCTGCAGGCCCATCACATGCTTCAAGCAACTAAAAAGCAGTAACTCATCTCTCTCGCATTGGCTTTGATTTCTTCTTGTTCCACTCTAATAACCCTCCGCTCTATTTTCTCTACCTCTCTGTCTCTGCAATGGCCCCCCTTTTTTTTATATATGTAAATATATGCAATAGGTTTTACGCTTAATAGATTTCAATATAGCAAAATAATCAAAGTGGCTACTGCTGTCTATAGATCTTTCTCAGGCTATTAATAACACAAGTTATGGCTTGCTATTTAATATTTACACCCAGTCCCTGGCATATCAGTGTGGCTTTTCCATAGTAACCAAAGCAAACTGTCCAGATATTGCTGGTGCAGCAGAAATAGGAGTAATTTTTTGGCCCCAGCTGTTCACATCTGGGGACAGGATAGTGATGGTGGTGTAAAATAAAAACCAACTTTTCAACCAGGAGACCGTGGCTTGTCTTCTGATTGAGGTTTTTGTTTTTCAAGCTGTTTTCTTCATTTTCACTCTCATGTTACTTTCATTTTCCTCACTGATTAGGTTTATTGAAAAGAAGTACCTGGTTAACTTTAATAAAATCTGGTTTTGATTTTAAAAAAAAAAGTTGCTTCTTAAAAAAAAAAAGTTGCAGTCATATGTGCTGAGGTGGAAGTGAGACCTGTTTATTTCATGACTCTGATGATGTACATTTCAGACAGAATGATGCAAACTGACATGATATTAAATAACTTAAATGATAAAGACTATATAAACATAATATGTCATCATTGATTGGGCTGCTGTTTAACTCTAACACATATGCATGTTCTGACCCATTCCACCCTTTTATGCTTCTATTTCTACATGTTTTGTGTTACGTTTTTCTCTGCTCCAGCTTAAGCGGGTTTGGTTATCTTTGATGTCCCTTGAGTGTTTTAATAATTTGTTAAATGTGTGATGTTGATGGTTACTCTGCCTCCCTCTATCACTCTCTCTCTCTCTCTGTCAACTTGCCTGCCTATAAGGCGTGGGCTACAAGTAAGGCCCCATCGCCATACTCACCACAGTATAATGTTTAGTGTCTCATATTCACCCTACAAAGTATAAACTAACATCATCTGTATACATGGAGACATACATATGTCTCTGACCATATGCAGGCCTAACACATGTAAAATACAGAAAACACACGTATGTATGTAGAGAACAAAGGAGTTTCTTTCGACTGCTGTTGCATGGGGGGGGCAGCTGTATTCTAATGTATTAATCATCTTGTCTCCAGCTTGCTAATTAATGACCCATCTGTCCCCACTCACTGATGTTCCACTTCAAACTCCCCAATAAACAAACACACACACAGAGGCGCTGCGGCACAACAACCAAATTCTCGTTCCAGTGATGCAACTCCGACGCCACTGCTGTGCACACTGTACGCTGCACTGTCTCATCTGCATTCAAGAAAACCTCCAAAGTGTTTATGGCAGCTTCATGAGAAAGGAGTCCTCCTCATCAGTTGCTGTGCGTTTAGCTGGCAGACGTGTGATCAGGCTTATCTGTGTGTGTGTCTATGTGTGCACTTATGTAGGTGTATGTGTGTGTTCATAGGCTTATCAGGTGAGCCCGGGCAGAGTGTCAGATGCAGTAATGGAGGCTTCAAAGACAAGCGCTGCGGTGAGTTCCCTGGCTGCCTTTTAACAAACCCCCTCCCCCCCCCACCCTTCCACCCCTCCCTCTCCCTTCCTCGACTATTCCCACCGCTGGGACGCAGAGGGACAGAAAGGCACATAAGTAGATAGCTGGGTGGATAAGGAAGGGAGGCAAGAAGTGAGATAAGCAGGCAGGTGAATAATTAAGTGGGCGCAAAGTCAAACAGACAACAGGTAGGCGTACATCAGGCTGAGTGGCAGGTAGGAGAGATATTGGAGAGCACAGATGCCTGACAGTAAGACAGACGCACGGAGGAGCAGACAGACAGTAAGACATTGAGACGCGGCCAGGTGCTTGTACAGGCCACCTCCCCTTCACTTGCATGAGTAGAGATACTTCAAACACTCGCCGCTTGTCTTCTGCTTCGTTCTGTTGTTCTCATCGCAGCTGCTAATGTTGTTTTGATGCTCGTCACCACCATCGCTGATCTGTTTCCTTTGAATGGGAGTGCTATTCCTGACTTCCCATTTGCTCGTTTCCATTTTGGTCTTTTATCCTGCATATGTGTTTGAGTGAACATGTTTGTGCGTGCGTGTCTTTTGTTTTACATCTGAAAAGCAGTCACAGTTAAGGGATAGTAACTGAGCGTTTGATCATTAAAAGTTGCCATTTGAGGTTGATTGGTTTCATTTTTTTCAGGGATCACATAGTTATTTTCTTGCTTTACAGTAAGATCAAAGAGTTTTGTAGTAAATAAAACTGCTGTATAAGCACTTGTGGCTGCATAAAAGCAAAAATACAGGAAGACGTATGAAAGAGTTAACCTACAAACACAGAACCTACTTTGGCTGCTTCTTATTCAACGACATTCAATTAGAAACCTAATATTGACTGTAGCATTTGCAGCAATTCGGCTATTAAAGTCATTTTAATTATCATGTGTAAAATCTGCACATTATTCTTAACTTTTTCAAAACTGATGACCTTTTTGATTATTTCTTATTTCGCACCGCATGTAACATTGTTCAACATGGTTCAGACTTCAGTGCATGGCTACTGTGATGGACACTCTCCCTTCTGCAACTATTTTTTTTTAATTGTACTTCACGGGCCTTAATAGATATTTGGATTCATTTTTTAAAGTCGTTTACAGTTTATTGAAGAAATATTTTTGCATGAATGTCTTATGTTATAAAGAAAGTCTTGGGGGATGTGGAGATAAAAATAAAATAAAAAGGAGTCAAACAGTGTTGTAGAAATTTCTTGTGATGTCACAGAATGTATATTTTGTATGTGTATGTGCAGACTTATGGGTTTCATTGGGACTGCAGAAGACATAAATATGAACTCATGAACCAGCACTGATGTCACAGACTTCACCAGAGATGTTACCAAAATAATTATCTACAGATATGACTCAGATTCATGTAGTTCAAAAGTTTTGATGTTTTTTTTTTAAATTTATTTTTTGGCTTTTGTTTTTGATTTTTTAAATCAGGAAGTATCCAGCATAAAACTACTAAATCGAACATAAGGAGCTACCCACCCTTGTAAACAGATGTTAAGAAATTTTCTAATCACTCTGTTCTTCTTGTGTCTTAAGCTTAATGGTTTAGCTAAACAATAACCTTACAATAAGAGTATTCATTTATTTATAAGCAAAACTGCACACATTGAAGGTAATACTTCTACTTGTAATACTAATCATGCCAATCCTCCTGCTCCCTCCAAACAGCAAACTCTGGAGAACAACCTAACCAACTTGGTGAAGAGGAACAGTGAGCTGGAGAACCAAATGGCCAAGCTCATTCAAATCTGTCAACAGGTTGAGGTATGTAACATATCTTTATGTCTTTTAATTTTTAAATAAAATTCAAATAGTCTCCCTTAATTGTAACTCAGGAAAGTGTGACTTCCATATGGAAAGTAGTTTTGCTTGTCGCCAGGTATCATCGCACAGTCAGAGGTCAGTGTCAGCAACAAGATAACAGCCTCGGAGCTGCTAAAGATTCTTAATGAGGGGAGTTCTGCTGGGTCGAAATAAGCATTTCCAAGTCAGCGCCACACCGCGCACCACTGAAGCTATCTATATTTTAGTCTAAGCCTCTTTTTATTTCATTATATTTCTGCCTCCTGCTGGATCATAACCGTGACTTTGCCAGCATTAAAATACGAATTCAATTCTTTCAGTTCCTTCACCAGCTACTGATCAAATATTGATTAATCCCAACACTATAAGTGAAAGCCAGGCTCTTACAGTGTCGTCATAAAAATGTCTGCATCGTTTTTAAAGAGTTGGAGGAAAGTATACAGCAGCAAGTTAATAACAAATGTGTCACAGTGATCGTGTTATGTCATTTGACCATCAATATGATAAGTGATTAGGCACAGCACTTTGAAAATGGAAATAATAGATACCAGTTTCAGTTTCAGAGGGACTGAAGAACACTCGAGAACAAAAGAGTAGCTATCAGCAACCATCCACTCTCAGACCTTTAAAAGGGTTAGTTATGTCATTCACACAACTTCAAACGCTGATTGAGATGACCACTTGAGCAAAGCCAAAACTAAAAGTTCAATTTTCAAGGTGCAACCGCTTTAATGTAAAGCTATAACTGTATCATAAATTCTGATTGTGTGCCTCTTTAATGTCTCAGCTTTGGCTTCCAATACTGCTTCGGTTCTTCCTTGAACTGTTGGCTTCCAATTAATCTCACTGCGATGAATTTGATTTTTAGGACGGATGAATTACTGTTGCATTACTCAACGGTTTAATTCTCACTGGCACCACCCACACAAGAAATTTATGCTTGCCAGCAAATCAGATAAGATTATCTGTCAAATGGCATATAACTCCAAAGTGGAAGCTTTATCTGACTTGTCACAAGGTGGCAATGTGTCATAGCTCCCCCCGGTACGATTAAACGGCAACCTTCGAAGAGTGTTTGCGGTGTCCTAGTGTGAACCGGAAGCCGTGTGCACAAAATTATACCTGAGTCAGTCTTGTCACTGTTGACCTCTTCCATTTGGGCCTCTGCTATGATTTAATGGAGGTACTGTTCAAAGCCAGTCCGAGAGTTCTAATGCTTAGCCACAGAGTGTTTTCTCAGCTGAGCATTACTAACACATTCGCGCACATACACACAGGTTCATGCTTTCAGTCTGTGCACACTCACTCTTAATAAACACCATCATTTTCTGTGATATTTGACATTAATGGCTGCAGAGGACAAATGCATTTTAGTGCCGCCATCACTCTCTGCGTAGTTCATTTCTTACCAGCCGGGCACGACTCCATTTTCTCAGAGTCACTCTGAGGTCCATGAACAGCAACTCATGCAGCCGCTCAGCCAATCAAAATTAAATGATTGCTGGGTGATTCATTAAGTACAGACAAACTGTTCGTCAACAGTGCATGGCGTGAGAAAAAAAAAAAACCTGTCTCTGTTTCGTCTTTGTCTGCATACCAATGTTGAGCCGCCGCCACGACAGCAGCACAGTCTCATCAGTTATTCATCAAAAAGTAATGAGGAGAGATTGCATGGGGGAGAACATGCTTCACCAACTCTCAAGCAAAGCAAATTATTGGAATAAACTATACGTTTTCAACTCATTTGGAGCTATTCTGCCTATATGATGTCAGTGTCAAAGGGCTACAGTTGTTTATTTAGAGAGGCGTAAGGAAGAGAGACTGGATTGTTTTCAGGTGAGCACACATTAAGGCGCAGAGGCGTTTTATGAGTGCCAGGAAGAGAGGCGAGGGCAAGCGAGGAGAAGAAGCTGGAGAACAGCTGAAAACTAGAGGCTGTAGAGGTGAAGGACAGGAAAAGGAAAACGAAAAGGCAAGAGGTTAACAGGGCAACGGGAACAGAGAATGGGATAAAAAGACGTAAGTGTTAGTGTGACTAGCAGTGATCCTTTTTTTTTATTCTGCAAAAAGAGATGCAGACCTTGTGTAGAAGAACACGCTCAGCAATAATGCAATACAGCACAAAAAGGGAATAAAAAAGTGAGAGTTTTAGTGAAGGGAGAGGAGTGTGTACAAAATAAGAAATCTCTGAAGGGCTTTAAGCATGACCTGGATTTCTCTCCTCCTTGTTTGCATCATGCTGTATTGGTGCCGAAGAAATGATCAAACACAGTGTGAATCAGCTTCCAGTGTGTCAGCACACACTGCAGCGATACAGCCCTGGCCTCCAGGGGTTCTCTCCGGGGGAGTTATCTTTTTCTTCAGTCTTAGATGCACTCACTTGATGATGTGTAGGATGCTTCTTTCCGAGTATCCTCACCACAAGGCTTGGTGTGGGATTTTTGTGCCTAATGGTGCTCGGAATAGGGTTCGGAGCTTTTTAAAAGCATTGATTTGATTCTTAAGCATTTGTAGTGATTTTTGTTTAGTTAACACTCATCACTCATTTTCACTCATGCGTTGATATTAATAGTCAGCAGAGTAAGGGGGACTCATTGAGGCTCTTGGGTGAAGAGCATTTCCCTAAAAACCACTTTGATGTTGAATAGACGCTGATACAGTGACAGATGTAACTGAATACAGACCCAGACTGAAAGCTGTGTTAATGCGTTGAATAAGACTAATATGCTATCTGTTACCTGCACGTTATTTTTCTCATTCACGAACTATGTTTTAAGCCATAAGCTGTTTAATATTAAGCCAGCTCACTCCTTTCTTTTTTTTAGAGTAATAGTAAAAGCTTTTTACCCTCTTCAAAAACACATCTCAAGAGATGCTCTTATTCTTTTGTTGCCATTTCATTTTCAGCACATTTCTATTTAATTCCCAAAGAGCCTCCCCTTTCATACTTTAACAATACTTCCTTAAAGGCTCGTGCCCTTGAAACTTTGTCTGTGTAGTGAAGTTCTCGCATTTAATATCTCCCTCTTCTTAATTCATCTTGTAACTTGACAGCTGATCAGCTTTTCTGTCATTCTGTCCCACTTTATCTCGCTCTCTATTAGAGATGGACCGATCCGATATTACGTATCGGTATCGGTCCGATACTGACCCAAATTCCTGGATCGGATATCGG